ATTTAAAATACTACAATTTACTCATACAATTACATCTTCAAACAATCTCCTCTTACAATCACCAATGCATTCCCTTAGGGTTTCTCATAGGAACGCATAGAGATCTCAAATCATACAGTTATTTACATATAAGAAGAGAAAATAGAAGAAACATATATAATTGGGAAAAACCCCTCATAAATGAGCATACAACAAACATGGGATTGGGGGCCAATCACAATACCCAACATACATTCCCACACCCAGAGCAAGGTTTCTCACTCCCCTTTACCTGGATAACCAGAAGGCGAAGCTAGAGCGGAATCTAGTTGATCTCCTTCTCTTGGTTCTCCTTAGTCTCCAAAGAGTGTGTCCATAAATAGTGTCAGAGTGCTCTATTTATAGACTTCAGGAGTGGCCAAAACGGCCCATTTTGGATCCTTTCATCATGTGTTAAATTCACATCTGGAACGACCCATTCTTAAACTAGAACGGCTCATTCTAGAGTTTAGTTTAACTCATAACGGCCATATTTGGAACGGCCTGTTCCAGTTTGGGAACAGCCCGTTCTGGGCTACTAAAATTCAAAATATTGGGCCGAGTCCTCATATAATTTGTGAAAATTGGGGTGTTACATTGCTTACCAAGATGATGATCTACAACAAATGCCTTTATTTGTTTCAAATGATGATTTTCAACAGTCTTGTTGATATTATGGGCATAGCAGAGGCAGTTCCAAATGATGTAGAAAATGAAGAAGAAGAAGAAGAAGACATACAATTGACAGCAAGTAATGAAGATGATTATGATGAAACTTATGAAGATATAGATTCAAATTAACTTAATATCATGTTTCATATCGACTCTTTTATGTACTTAATTAAATATATATTAATGAGGCATTTTCAATTTCTATTGTGTTTTTAATAACATATTGTCATTTAATATAATATGCCAACTACATTACTTTGTTCATGGACTTCATGTGTTAATGTTGTAATTGTTGTTGATATGTGTACATTAATAGACTTTGATGTCTTAATCTTGCGGTTGTTGTGGATATGCATATATTACTATATAGTAGACATTATTTGTTAATCTTGAACTTATTATTGATGTCTTAATAAACTTCATTTGTTAATGTTGTACATTGTGTATATAGATTGCGAGTAATAACATGACTGATAGAGGAAGAGGGAGAGGCACTGGTAGAGATATTAGTAGAGGTAGGGGAAGAGGGAGAGGTAGAGGTACCACCATTGTGCCACCACCTTCTACTTCTCAGCCAACACATTCTATTGGAGAACCCCCACATTGTACTACACAACCTACACATGCTTCTACCTCCCAGATGTTAGAAAAGAATGGCTCAATCCAAGAGGGGGGTGAATTGGATTCTATGACACTTTAAAAAAATTTAAGAGTATTTAGGATCTTTATTTCAATTTAAAACTTTTTTAAAAAATGAATTTTCAATGAAGTTTCTTAAAGACTTGTTATTGAAGAATGAATCCTATATGCTTCCTTGATTAACCAATAGAACAATATGTAATAGTTCAAATCAATATTACTCATTCAAACATGTTAATCAAGAACAATCTTTTCAATACACAATCAAGATATTACACAAAGTAAAAGATAAGGGTAAGAAAAGATTGCACAAGTTTTTTATCCTGGTTCAGCCACTCCACATGTGACCTACATCCAGTCCTCAATCATAACCTGATCAAGATTTGTTCCACTATCTCAAAGAAGAAGGTTTACAAGCATACCACACATGCATACACTCCTACATTCAAGATAACCACTTTCTTGACCTCAAGAAAGCACCCCTTGTAGAAACCCACTACAAGAATTCCTTACCACTTTAGAAACCTACTCAAGATTTACAAGTATGCACAAAGAATTAAGGAACGAATTCACCTGGAATTCAGAAGCAAATCTTAATCTCTTTCCTTTCAAGAATATGATGATGATGATCTTTTCTCAAAGCTTTTCAAAAACGTTTTTCCTTCTTGGTTTCACAAAGAAAACTCCCAAGAATGTCACAAAGACTTCACAAACACGTTTTTCTAAATTTGATTCTCAACTCTAACTCTATTCTGAAGTTTCAAAATGGTCAAACTATTTATAAGTTTTTCAGAACCAGATAATCGATTATTTTAAAGAATAATCGATTATTTTGTTCTTCAGGTTTTCTAGAAATCAACCAAGAACAATTTAATCGATTATTTTGCTGGATAATCGATTATTCCATAGAGTCATTTATGGGATAATCGATTATTTCACAAATAATCGATTATTGCAGCAAGGCATCCCTTTTTGCTTGTTGCTGGAATAATCGATTATATTTAATGATAATCGATTATTTTGAGTTAGTTTTTAAAACTTTGTTTTAAGTCTCAAAATAACTTCTTAACCTTTTAAACTCATCATCATACACTCCCTAATCATATTAGATATAGATTTAGCTTATGCACAAAGCATACACACAAGACAAATAAGCTCAAACAAACCAATCTAAAACTACTCTTATTACATAACATTTTCCTTTGACTTTGTTTTTGACTTCTAAGTTGTTGATGTCCTTGGCCAGCATGTTCCACACATTTGTTATCATCAAAACTCTTAATCTTCGGAGGTGATCTCGTCAATCTCAGGCTCCCCCAATCTCAACAATCTCCCCATTTTTTATGATGATAAATCAAGCTAAGCTTAAACCATTTTGTCCATTTTTCTTTGCATTTTCTTTCACATTCAACACTTGCAAAACAACCAAGCACAAAACCTTTCTCCCCCTTTGGACATCATCAAAAACAAATCAAGCTATGTATGTCCACAACACACAGTATGAGCTTTATGCATACTCCTTATATGCTCAGAACAACACCAAAAACTAATTTAACACAATCATAATCATCAGATCAGCAGCAATAACATGAATTGTTCAACCAAAATCACAAGATATAATTCACAATTTCAGAATTCAGAATCAAAAACATTATCAAATATGCCAACCAAACATCAAAGCACCATATAGTAATGTTTCAAAACAGAACATCACACCACCAATCAGCCAAATCAGAATTGTCAAACCATTCAAACACAATATATCAGCAATTTAAACTTCAAATTCCAACAGAAATCAAATTGTTCAACAGATTAAAGCAATAAAATTGTTCCGGAATTAAAATGATTACAACCCAAAAATTAAAATTTTAAAAACCAGAAATTTAAACTTCCTAATTAAAAATAGAATAGAGCACAAATCAATCTGAGTCTTCAGGCATCCCAAGGTGAGTCTTGAGTCGGTTAATTTCACGGTCAAGGTCATCAAACCTATAAAGAATCCCCAAATATATTGACTCATGCCTTCTAGACATCTCCATAACAGCATCAAGCTTATTAATCATAATTTGCTCGAATGGAGAGAATGGCTTAGGCTCCGCTTCTTGCTCTCTGTCTGGCTCAGCTTTGACCTGTGGTGGCTGGTCCTCATCATGAGATGGAACGCCATCCTCGTCTGTTGCCGGTTCTGGGGTTGGAGGTACATCTCCCTTGAATACCCACTTATCTTCCTGTTTGAGCATCCCCATGTGATACAAGGAAGATTTCTCAATTTTGTTAGAAGCATGGAGAATAATTTTCTTCTCCCTTGTCAATTCTACCCCTGCATTCTCAAAAAATTTAGACAGCAACAAGGCATAAGGAATTGGACCATCCTCTTTCCTTCTGGCCTTCCACATACAGTCATTCACCACTGATACCCAATCAATCTTGATTTTCCTTTTAATCACATGCATGAGCAAAATGTCATCCCTTGACATTTGAGCATGGTTGTGCAAACGTGGTTTAAGAATCCAAGCAATAATAAAAGAAATCAAACGGGAATTTTTCTTCATACCTCCCGACAAGAACTTGTTGTAGTTGGTGTTCTCAAGATTCCTCTGACAATCTCTGAAGGTCGTCAGCTCCTCAAAATCATCAAAGTTGAAGGGTTGGGGTTTTTCACTTCCATTGCCACTCAGCCCGGCAGCCGCCTTCAAGGTTGGTCCATCAAGCTTTATCAGCTTGCCCCTCACTACTGATTGCATAATGCCTTCATTGCTTGTTTCAAAGCAAAGAAACAGCCTGATCAGCTCAGGGTAGTAGGGTCCTTCCATTTCCAAAAACTTTCCAAGTTCTTGGTGCTCCAGCAGAGTTGGAAAGCTAAACCCCTCATTTTTGAACCACTCCAACTTCAGGGTTTTGGGAGGAATGATTCTCTGACCCGCATACCACTTGAAGTAATACTCCTAGGTTTTCTCATCCGCAAACCACTTAGAAATTAGTTACCCTGAGGGTAGAGGACGCTTGCTCCCCTTCACTTCCAGCTTCTTGGGTCTTTTAGAAGAAGAAGCCATGGATGGGTTTTGGTGGAGAAGATGAGAATGAGAGATATGAGAAGGTTAGGGTTTAAGAGTTTGAGAGAACGTGAGAATGTGGAAAAATGAGAGGGTTTGGAGATTCTTATGCCCTAGCACGTTTCTGAGTGGGGAGAGGTTTCTTAACTGAAGAGTAATGGGAAGTTAAGGGTTTGGCGCGCATATAAACCGTTCAAAATGCTTCAGGAATTCCTAAGGTCGCGTAGATAATTGATTATTTCTACAAATAATCGATTATTTGTATCAGTAAAAACCTTTAAAAACCCTGTCTGCACTAAATAATCGATTATTTTTAGAATAATCGATTATTCCAGAGGGTTGTTTTTCTCAACTTTGCCCAGATAATCGATTATTTTCAAGATAATCGATTATTCCAGGGGCTTTTCATATTCTTCTTCCTAGATAATCGATTATTGCCCTAGATAATCGATTATTCCAGAGGCTCTTAGAATTCTTCTTACCAGATAATCGATTATTATCCAAATAATCGATTATTACAAAGGCTCTTGGAATTCTTCATCTCCCAGATAATCGATTATTACCCAAATAATCGATTATTATCATGGGCTCACTTGAAATAATCGACATACATTTAACAAAAGCATAAAGATCTATTCTCCATAGGACAGATAACTATAAGTTGCCAATGAGACATGAGACAGTTGAAAAATGTACACGTTTTGGAAACATGAGACAGTTTAGGTCAGAGTGTATGTGAACACATGCACACACCACACACAAAATGATGCAATTTTAAGCCATCTGGAAAAAAATATAGTACATAAAAAAGACCTCTAAGAAGAAATGTCAGTTGAAAAGAGAAAATTTTACACAGAATTAAAATGAAGTTCAACGTAACACTACCAAGATTGAGGAGCTAAGCGATCAGTTGAAATCAGTTCCTAAGCCAGGTAACTCAATTTCATATCTTCCTTTAAATGTTGCACCAGAAATAAGTCAGTTTGTAATGCAAGTAAGCATTTAAAATTTTAAACTTGAAGTGGGAGGAAGAAGCTAAAGAAATACAAGGATATTCTAGGTGCCACACATCAACATCCAGGTTTCCTATGTAATTTTGTAGATGACAACCAACAAAAAAAGTATTCATTTTAGCAATACATGGTTTATTAGCTTCTTCCCTGAATTTTTAGCCTGTAGCTACGTATAAGAGAAAAAATAGGCTCAAACATATTCTAGGTGTAACATTAGCCTAGGAGCCCAGAACAAGGCTTTTCCAAATTACGCTTTTCCAAATGATCAACTAGCTCAAATTACGCTTTTCCAACCTGCATTAAAACATGTTCAAGTAAGGAGATTTCAAGGGGATTGAATTGGTGAAACAAAATCCAAACCTTATCTGGAAAGTGAAAGTTTTTTCATTCTGACCTTGAGAACAAGGCTGTTTCTGTACCAGGAGGCATTGATAGGCCAAGTTCTATTAGGCAGTTATGTTTGTATTAATTGGATACTTATGTTCTATGGCATGAGTTATAGTTTTATATATGTGGTGTGATGCGACAGACCTGTGGAAGACAGTTAATATCTAAATAATCAACCCTGGATAGTATTAGTAGCACCTTGCAGCCTACCCCGAGACCACAAAAGCAAGATAGCAAAAACTGGGCCTAATCACTATTGCAAAGTCTAGAAAACAATATAAATAATTTATATCATACACATAAATAGTCAAAAATAGAAATACACATTAAAAAATTATGTATCAATATCTTATATTATTTAAATACTAGTTGGAAGAAGAAAAAAAAAGATACTTCGTGCTTTTGTTAAAAAAGAGGGAGGGGAGAATAACAAATCTCTCTCCTAATAGTTTGTGCGGTTATTAGAGATTGTGTAGTTATTAGTAGTAAAATAGAGAAGATAAAAGTGGACTCCAAGTGGGGTTATCCCTTTTAATATGAGGGAAGAAATGAGAAAGAGAAGTTAAAAACTGAGGGAAGGGGGAACTTAAAAAGTAAGAGCATGTATGTCAGAGAACACATAAGACAGGATCTTAAAATGGGAAGACAAAAATTAATAGGGTCAATTTGGAAAAATGGAAAAGACATAAAAATTAATAGGGGCAAAAACAAAAAGGTTTAAAAAATTAAAAGTATGAAAATCAAGCAGAAAATAAAATCAGGTGAATTCAATTTTTCACCCCAAATTTTGAAATCAAAGCCACTTACGTACACAGTCACCACGATTTCGTTGCAAAACATGGCCACCTACTGCAACAGCACCCAGGAAGATAAAAGTGGATACCAAGTGGGGTTATCCCTTTTACTATTAGTATAAAAGTATAGATTATTGTTAGAAAAAACTCAAGTCCCACATAGACTAGAAATTTGACAAATAACGAGTTTACAAGTGGGAGGCAAACCTTATCTCACAAACCAATTTTATAGGATTGGGTTAAGTCCATAACCTATTTTCTTAGAATGGCATCTAGAGCCTCTTAATCCTTGACTATGGCTTACACAAACAATCAAGAACCAATTCACGTGCCACCATTGCAATCACATTTTCAGCACAATGGAAATCCATCATCTTCAACTGCGATAGTAGTTTCAATCGCTTTTTTAGATCAAATCACATAAAAACTTGATGATAAGAATTTTTTGTTTTGGCTTCAGCAAACCGAGCATGTAATCAAGGCACACATGCTTCATCACTATATCATTTCACCTTGAATTCCATCAAAATTTCTTACTGAAGAAGACCATGATCTTAATCACGTCAATTCACAATATCTTGCTTGAGAATAGCAAGATCAGATGCTACTTGCATGATTACAGTCATCTTTCTCGAGTTCGATGCTCTCTCGTGTTCTTGATTGTCTTCATTTATACGAAATGTGGGAGAAAATTCATTCACACATTCATCATCAGACTCACAAGAGCTCAACAATCGCAATCTCAACATCATCACTCCGCCATAGAAGATCATCTTGTTAGTGAGTATCTTCTTCTCATCAAAGATGATCCTGCATCATCTTGTCAGAATTTGGATGCAATTCTTGAAGGATTACCTCAAGAATTTGATTCGATTATCATGTTAGTTGAAAATTGAAGGTTTGATTCTTGCTCAAGAACAGCATCTTCAGAAATATCGCAAAAAGGTTTTAGTTGATACAAACACAACTACAACTCCATCACTAAATCTCACATACCACTCCTCAGGCTACTGCGAATATCACAGATGGTGAAAATCTCTCCAAGAAAAACCCTAACTATCAAAATCTGTCAACATAGTTTGTCAATTTATGGCTAAACCCTTGGAATCTCACTTGATAGCAGTGAAGCACATACTACATTATCTCAAGGGTTCTCTAAATAGTAGATTACTATTTTCCCCTTGAATTCCTCATCAACCTTTGTCCATTCAAGCCTTTTGTTATGCAGACTGGGCTGCTGACCCGGATGACAGATGTTCTACCTAAGAGCTACCATTAACTTGGGACCAAACCTTATTTCATGGTGGTCTTGCAAACAAACGATGGTATCTAGATCAAGTACAGATGTTGAATATCTAAGTTTATTTGCAGCCACAGTATACATCCTTTGGATTCAGACTCTTCTAAAAGAACTTTCAGTCTCACATCAGATTACTATAGTTCTATGTGATAATCTAAGTGTAGTTCACTTAGCTCACAATTCGGTTCTTCATGCTAAATCAGGGCAAATGGAACTAGATATGTTCTTTGTTCGAGATAAAATTCTTGCCAAGAAACTTTTGGTTAGGCACATTCCTGGTCAAGATCAGTGGGCTAATCTTCTTACGAAGCTTCTATCACCTACTCGATTCTCTTTTATAAAGACCAAACTCAATGTTGTTGATCTTCCTCTTGTCTCTCACCCACCTTGAGTTTGTGGGGAAGCGAGTGTTAAACTCCTCTGCTAAGTATTATTTTGTAACCATAGTCAATCTGTATGTTTGATTAATAAGTCAATTAGTTGTAACTGTCACTGTTAGACAGTTATAACCTCTCCTCCTTAAGTCTCTGTACTATATATAGAATTCTAAACAAAGACTCAATTCATTGTATCAAAAACATTTCAATCAATGAATTACATTTTCAATTAATATGGTATCAAAACTATCTAGAATCACTTTAAAAGGGTTGCCCACCATTGATATACACACCAAGTCCAATAATGTTGGACGTGAGGGAGTGTTTGAGGAAAAACTCAAGTCCTACCTATCCTAAATCATTAGAAAGGTTAAAGAAACCCATGAGTTTATAAAAAACATAAATCTAATACAATTTGTACAAAGCTAAATAAAAGGTGCTCACTTTCGAGGGCCTCAAAACATTTTTTTATTAATGAAACACTATTAATAATTAGTTGTTTAGAATCTGCTCCTACAGATGAGCAGATCAATGGGAAGGCGTCTAAATTGAAGCTACTGTCTGCTGTGAAAATTCATCCAGCATCTACACAGTGTTATCAAAAA